CCAAAAAGCCAACAAACAGACAAACAAACAAACAAACAAACAAACAAAAAAGAGAAAGAACAAACAGACAGACAGACAGACAGACAGACAGACAGACAGACCAACCAACCAACTAACCAACAAACAAACAAACAGACAAGCAAACAAACAAAACAAACAGTCAAACATACAAACAAACAACAAACAAACAAAAAACCAACCAACCAACAAACCAACCAACCAACCAACAAACAAACAAACACACACACACAAACAAACAAACGAAACAAAAAACAAACAAACAGCCAGACAAACAGACAGACAGACAAAACAAACAGCCAACCAACAAAGAACACACAAAACAACCAACCAACCAAGCAAACAAACAAACAAACCAACAAACAACAAACAAAACAACCAACCAACCAACCAAGCAAACAAACAAAAAAAAACAAACAAATCAAAAAAAAACAAACAAACAAATCAAACAAACAACCAAATGAAACAAACAAATCAAACAAACACACTGAAATCCAACCAGCCAACAAACAAACAAACCAACCAACCAACAAACAAACAAACACAAAACAAAACAAACAAACAAGCAACTCAAACAAACAAACAAACAAATCAAACAAACAAAAAACCAACCAACAAACAAACAAACAAACCAACCAACAAACAACAAACAAAACAACCAACCAACCAAGCAAAGAAACAAACAAAGAAAACATGAAACAAACAAATCAATCAAATTAAAACAAACAACCAAAAAAACAACCAAGCAAAGAAACAAACAAACAACTCAAACAAACAAAGACATGAATCAAACCAACCAACAAACAAACAAACAAAACAAAACACAACACACAATCAACAGCCACAACCAGCCATTAAAAAGAACACCGGGCTTTCACATCGAAAACTTCCCCCGCAGGCCAAGACAAGCCTTGGAGGTAGAAGCGCACGGCGGTGTCCATGGAGGCCAGCGCCGTGTCCAAGACGGGCTCCATCTCAGAGATCTGCACGGGCTTACTCTCCGGGGGCATCTGCGTGCAGAAGACCCCCACCTCGGATGGATCGATCCCTAGAGCGGTTGGTTTGGGCCAAAAAGAAACGGGGTGAACACATAGACACAGTTGGTTTTTTCAGCGGCATAAAACAAATCGCCCGTTTGAATGACCACAAAAAACGGACCTGAAGGATATGTTTGGTTCCAGGTTGGCAGAGACCTTGGACACGTTTGGAATGAACAAAAACATTCACAAAAAGGGGAACCGGAAACAACAATCTTTTCCAAGCCTTCGTTTTTGTGTCGGACCGCCACTTGAGTTATAGAACAATAGTTTTTGCTGATTTGGGATTGCCTGGATCGCCAGTTACGTTTTATGATTCTTCCAACAAGTTCCTGTGACTGCTATCTAGACACAAAGCAAACGCAACTTGGCTAGGTGGATTTTCTTAAGTAAACCTTTGGAAGTGAACATGGGAATCGGACAACTAAAAGGAGAAAAGGTCGATTCGCTCCTCCTTTCGCAGAGACACCAATTGCCCGTCCTGCTTGATGCCCGTGGACAGAAAGCTTGCCAGCGCGCCATAGCTTGGCCTAACGCAATGAGCGAAAGAGGGGAACCCCGAATCTTGACCCACGTCTGGGGTATACAAACAATAGAATTCTCTGTAAGTTGTCTACCCTATCCAATAGCCGAGATTGGTCTCGGCCGGACACGGAGGCTCGGCCCTAAAGCGATTCCATGGAAGTGACCTACGTGGGAACGAAAGAGGCCTGCCCAAAGTGTACCACGATAAAGGGTATGGTTTCCCAGGGTGTAACCCCATACACATCCCTGGACCTTCATTCGTTACATAAAGTTGTGTCCCTTGCATGTTTCGTAGCAGAAATTTGCTAGTCGGGCGTTTTTCGGGGGAACGGGCACAAATTCGGCTTCTCTCTTCTCATATAGTCTGTTGCATGGACACACGTGGAAACAAACCCGCAAAACGGGCGCAAATACCCGCAAAACGAGCGCAAATCCAAAACATGTAACATTTAGCACTTTGCAAGAAACCCGTGTTCATGAAACGAGCGTTTTTTGGGGAACGAGCACTTTTTGGATCATTGGGCGAAAATACTTGCTCCGAGCATGTTTCTTTCGTGACACAAATTTATGTAACACTGGAAGGTCCAGGTCTACAGGGGCACATGTGCACGTGACATCGGCCCTTGGTGACTTTGTTACCTACAATTGATGCTGGATTATGTGGTGTTAACCCATTGCGCCCGAGGAAATGTAGGGAAATATCTACCCTTTAAGAATTAGAGACATATATATATATGTATAATGTATATGCGTAGATGTTCACAAATATATAGATAGTATGAGTGTGTCTAAACATGGCGGCCTCAAACGGGTTCTTTCTCTTTGGCTTCCCTTTGGAACTGCCCCAAAAACAGTTCCCTGAAACAAACAGCCAACACGTGACATGGCGACATTAGCCTGGACCTTGGTTGATGCGGGTGGCTGGTGACCATGTGTACATTATATATATATATATATATATATATGTGGGTATGTCTCAAAATAGGCGGACCCCAATGGGCATGGTTCTTTGGTTTCTCCAATCCACCTTTAAATATTTTTTGTTGGGGGGAATATAATTATATATAAATATGTGTATATATATATATATACATAATATGTGTGTCTAGAGAAACACACAGTTACATTTAAGTACATGATCACCGTCTCTGAAGGGCTCCGGGGCGCCCGTATGGCTTCCAGTCGATGACGTTGATCAGGTCTGGGTTCGCCATCGCTGCGCGGAAGGCCTCGCCCAGGCCGGAGTCCTTCCATACGCCAGTGCCGTTGGCCGCGAAGTTGGTGGCATAGTCCAACTCCTGACACGTGGAAGCCCTGTAAAAACCAAGCCCTGTCTAGGTCCCATGTTTTCAGCTGGAATGAACCCGAAACCCAAGCCTTACAAATCCAACACACGACAATCCAAACAACCAACTAAGGGACAGCTGATATACCACGAAACCAAAAACTGTCTATTTGTGTAGGTCACAAAAGCTCCTCTTGGCATTATGCCGCTCAACACACAGGGTTTCAAAAAAACGAGGGTGAAGGGCTCCGCTGGTATATGGGCATGTGCCCAAAAAAAGGGGTACCCCCAACAAGGTGGTGTTCTTTTGTGTTTCCCTTTCAACCAAGGGGCAAGGAGTACCTGCAAAAAAAGGACACACCGATATGTGTGTACACACATACATATATATATATATATATATATATGTATATGAAACCGTGCGTATGTGCACGCAACGCCGGGGTTTGCCCAGGCGTTCCACGTATTGTCAGGTGAGCGGTAGTCAAAACCTGGGTTCCACGATGTTATATTCCATCTCTGCCTTCGCGAATCTTGCGCACTTCACAGTTTTCCTTTCGCGGAGCACATTGGGCCAAGAAACCCCTTCGCGGGGCTTTCGCGGAGGGTTCAGCAAGCAACCCAGTGTTCAAAGTTGGGCTTTCACCCTTTCGCAAACATGATTCCTCGCGGCCCTTTCGCGAAGCTTTTGCGGCCCTGTGATGCCCAGTGTTTTCCTTTCGCGCAGCAACTTGCAGGACAACTCCTTTAATTACTAACTTATTTCATCGGGGATTGAACGCTGCTCATGTGTCTTCTTTCTTATACATGTGCGTGACCATTGGTGCGCTATGTTTTAGGGTTTATGGTATGTGGGTTGGGTTTTAGGGTTATGGTTTTAGGGTTAAGGTTTAGGGTTTATTGTCCAGGGCTAGACAATAAACAACCAGCCGCGGGTGTGCACAACGCAGCGGAGGTTGGGGGCATTGCGGGCCCAGGCAAACCCCAGAAACTGGCTGTATGTATATATATATATATATATGTTGAACATGCAGTCCAGCATGAGTTGGATGCGGGTTGGGGAGGGCAACCCAACCATTCTAACGTAAAAGATGGACCTCCTTCAATGTTAAGATGCGGGCACAGCGGGCCCCCCAAATTGTGGCTTCCCTTTCGCGCTCAAAAAAAGGCACGCCCAAATAAGAAAGCGCCGGTTGGAGGAACGAAACAGGGTAAGCGAGTCGAAAACCAGGGTAAGATCTTGCGAGAAACTGCCGCACGAACTCGAGTTTCCGATACTTCCATGGCTGCTTTTCTGGCACCGCCAACTCACGCACCATGGCATCCTTGTACACAGAGTAGATGAGATTGCCTGGCTCCAAATGCACACTTTTCACGTTGCCAAGTGCTTCCATTCTCCTGGTGACCAAAGGGTCTTTTTGTAGACGAGGGAAAGTGCAAAAGGGTGCTCCTCTGCAGCGGCTTGAAGCTAGTTGATCCAGCTTTCAACCCCAGACTGAAAAAGGGAGGCATTTGCCGTGCGAAAACAGGTTCTCTCAAAAACGATATCCAGCAAAGCTCTTGGATTTGGAGCAGTGCCCGGACTATGCTCATGCGCGCACCCCGCGCCTTCAAGGTCAAACATGAAGATATCATAGTAGTTGCGCTCATAAAGGATACTACGATAGACGGGGTGATACTGAGCGTGCACCTGGTGGTAGTACTCAGATCCTGGATCCGCATCATGCAAATGGTCCTTTTTTTGAGGCTCAGGTTCCCTGTTTGGAGCTACAAAGGGAAACCCAAAGGCAAGCCAGAGGAAAGCCTGGATCAGCCACTACGGTCCGAGCGAATGAAATTAATTGTGACTGATGTGCTGAGCAGGTCCAGGGTTCATTGTAGAACGGTTGAGCGGCACAGTTTTTTTGTAAAAAAGGGGAACCCTCAAAGAAAGGAGGAACCAACACCATGAAGCTTGGCAGTGCCACTTGAGACCTCCGTTCAAGCCTTTTGTCCGGCCCCTGAAAAACGCAAGAGAGAACTCATGCACACCACATTTGCATAGATCACTCCGGCTCCTGGGGCGAAGTCCAAATTGTCCTGCGCAACAAATGGCAAGGTGACGGTTGGTCAATTCAGCAATGGTCATGGTTCACTTAGCGTGAATCCTGACATTGGTTGTCTAAATTCCCCCATCAAGGGGTCTACAGGGCTCCCTATACTTCCCCTTTAATCATCACCCCACCAAAAAGGAAGGTCCTAAATTGGCCCAAAAGGCGATGTCTAAAACCACCAAAAGGGGAAATATAGGGAGCCCTGGTCTATGACCATCCCTAATCCCAAGGACAAGGATGGGTTTGACCATCCCATGCATTCAGCAAACCGTTTCTTCTCAAAATGCGGCCGACAAAACTACTCATGGGTAGTTGGAGTAGGCGGATGACACACCCAAGTGCCGGGTTTGGACCTGCAAAATGTAAAAGCTGTTGCTGAAATACTTGTCCAAAAGGTTAGAACCTAACAGTTGCGAATCGTTGGTTTTTCCCAGTGAGTGTCTTGAAGAAAGAAAACCAGAACCCGGCCGATCTGGATAGTGCTACCTCCTGACACTTCCCTTTCCAGGTCCCCGTCCTTTCCGGCAAAACAATAAGCAAACCTGACACACCGCCCAACATGGGTGCATATTTTCGGATTGAAGGCTCAGATCCAGCGGCTTCCCTTTCGGCATTTGGCCATGGGTCAAAAGCCCGGTTCGCCGAGCCCCAGTGACATCCCAATCCAACCACTAAAATAGGTTCTAAAATGGGTGGTGAATTCACCTACCAACCAACATGGGATCCCACTGGTATTGACAACCACTGCCATTTCTGCTTCTTGCCCAGGCCTTGGAGCCCACTGCATTGGGATTGGAATAGATGTAAGCAATCTGCAGATTCTCCAGGCGCTTCTCGTCGGTGTTCCTGTGGAAAGGCTCAACCAGAGAAAAGGGGAGGGGGTAAAAAAGAAAAACGCGAAGCGGCCCACACTGCTTGCAACATGTATCAGTCCTCACCAAGTTGGCAAACTAAATGTGTTTGTTTTTTTTTCTTGGGGGGGAGGGGGCGAGGGCCTTTTTGACCGATCTGTTGCCTGGCTAAGATTTGAGACACATATGCGCCATGTTCAAAACCAACCTGACTTATGAATTGGATCCCCAAGTAAAGGACCTTAATCACGGTGAGCGTTAAATGTCTGTCTGTCTGTCTGGCTGGCTGGCTGGCTGGCTGGCTGTCTGTCTGTCTCTCTGTCTGTCTGTCTGTCTGTCTGTCTGTCTGTCTGTCTGTCTGTCTGTCTGTCTGTCTGTCTGTCTGTCTGTGTGTTTCCCTTCAATTGATCTATCTAATCTGTTTATGTATCTACGTATCTAGGTACCGAACTATCTATCTTCATTATTCGCCTTCATCTATCTAGCGATTGTCATATCTATCTTTCTCTATCATCGATCTGTTTGTCTGTCTATCTATATTTTTATGTACGAACGCTCCTGCGATGGTGCTCCAAAGTGCTGCGCCATGCTGTGCCTGTCAAAAAACCCAACGCGCGACCCTACAAAGCACTGCGCCGCCCACGAAATCATGCGCCTGCCACAAAATCAACACCTTACTGCGGCTGCCACGAAATAGGCACGTGACCTCCAAATACTGCGCCTACTACGCAACTCGGGGCCTTCGGTGCTGTGCCTGTCACGCAAAATGAAGCAAAAACACCCAAAGTACGGCGCCTGTCCACGAGATGCAATTTCGACACATTTACTACGCGTGTCAGCGTTTATCATGGGACAGCGGCGCACAAAGGATTTCGATGTTGACAAACTACTGTAGCAACTCGCCAAAACGAGCCGACTGTACGACAGGGCCAGCGAGAATGACACTTGCGCAAACGCTTGCAGGCGCCTGCCAAGCACGACACCTCAAACCGATCGCCTGTGAATCGAACACCGCAATGGCAGGTTGACGACGAACGCACATTCTTCCAGAACACCGCGCATCCGCCGCGAAACGGCACGCAGCATGGGCGCAACGAAGTTTGTTGCAGGTCTTTCAAATCTTACATTTACAGCCCTGGGTGCAGTGGGAAATTGCGGCCTGAATCCAATGCTCTGCAAAAGTTTCATGCCTTTCCCAGCCCCCACCAACGCTGGCGATCGCTTGCGGACGCAGCGACGCATCTGGTGATCTTTCTGTAACGGGAGCCCTTGATGCATTCGGGAAGAAACATGGGGATAACATGTCAAATGCCTCCTTTTTACGCAGGATTGGCATGATCACCAGAGGGGTACCACAAATGCGGGCCGAGATATGCAGCTTCTCAAAATGCGATTCGTCCCCTAAAATGTCAACGGCCCCTTCCAAACAATGTTTCAGAGGGTAGACTTGATGTGAAGCAGAATTTGGGCAGGTCATTTCATGTTCTGTGTACCCGAGATATGTACAAGTAAAATGGTCGTGGTTTTTGGGTTTCTCACAAAATGTTAACCAAAACTTTTTGAGATGACCTCATTTTGATTTCTGATTTTATGGCGAGCTCACTACATCGGCGGGACAAACACACAGACAGACAGACAGACAGACAGACAGACAGACAGAAAGAAAGAAAGAAACAAATACAGGCAAATAGAAAAATACCGAATGATCGACAAATATGCATATATGTAAAGATACAACCCCACCAATGGATACATTGTTGCTGGTTGAAGGATATTTTGGAGATGGAACGCAGCTGTTGTATTTGGATTGGCCCATGCGACTTGACCAGCATCAGGTCATCCTAAGCAAGCAAAAACCACCTTTAAATCTAAATTGAAATTAAGACAAGTCCAAATAAAGGAATTCTATTTTGAACTAAGACAAGTCCAAATAAACTTTTTCTCTGGAAATTCTAATAGAACTATGTACTTAGTTAGGTCTATTTCCATGTGGGTTTTCGTTAAGTTCAATTTGCATTTAAAAAATATCAAGAAACAAAGGCCCGAGAAGGGGTTCCTTTAAACCTAAGCTGGAATACTATGCCCAGTTACAAACCTTGAATGAAAACGCAACCTTAAACTCTCTCTCAGACTAGAAACTCTACTAGAACTTTTTCCTCAAACATTCTGTTTAAAAAGAACCTGACCACGAAAATGACACCCCGTTCTAAAAATCGAAAATATGCTGACTTAAACAACACATCTTTTTTGAAATGACGTCCTGAATACATAACATGTAAACTCCGATTTGAAAGTTGAAGGGGCGCAGTCCTGGAAATAGGGCGCCCTTTAAAGCCTTTAAAACCAGTGTTGAAACGACGATTCCATTACACAAACATGGGACACCCTCTGTCAAACCCAACTTGAGCCAAGAAGTCTAAAATGAGTTTACTTAAGCCCTTATCGGACTCTTGCTGAGTTTCAAGCACAACCCACAAAATGCAAGTGTGAGTTAATAAGCCCCAAACCCTACAACCTACAACCTGTCCTATTTCTAAGCTGGGGCTGTAAAACGGAAAAAGAGACAAAAGCAACATGTAAAATTATGGGGCCAACGACCCAAAAGTAACAAAAGTACACATAAACAAGAAAAGGAAACAGTAAAAAAACAAAAGCCAAAGGTAAAGAAGCAAAGTCACTCAGTCCATGGGCAGGGCATTTTACTTCAAGACCATGGCTTGAAATATTTGCCTTTACCTTTTCGCTTTTTCACATTTTTACTTTTCCTTTTGGGCCATTGGCTCCAGAATTGCGCGTTCTGCTTTTCTGCCTTTTGCTTTTGCCTTGTACTTGTTTTTACACAGCATTTCTTTCTTACTTGTTTGCTTTTGGGTCATTGGCTTCAATGGTTTAGATTGCTACTTTCTCTCATTGCCTCCAAACGTTTACTGTTGTACTTTTTTGGCTTTTGGGCCATTGGCTCTTTACGTTCGCCTCCAATATCGCTGTCTGTTTTGCATCCTCTGCTCGTATTTCTTTTGTTGGCTCCAGAGTTTTACTTTTTTGTCACTTTTGGACCAGTCCCCAGCTGAGAAATGGGACAAAGGTAGGTCCAAACCGACCTGACGGAATTTTCATTCGGGCCTGCAAGATTCCCTGGAAAATTTGGTTCCAGATTGTCTTTCGAGATGCGCCCTTTTTGCTGCTTCCCCCAAGCCCCAAAAAAGGCAGAAAGCGCTGCAAGTACCAGTGAGTGATGAAGGAAGGTAGATCCATCGGGGCTGCCGAAATTGTTTCTACACATATAGATATACAAGTGTGGACATCTATTCATGGCTAGAAAGGTGGATAGACTGATAGATAGATGAATTGAGGTGGGCTTGATAGACTATAGTATCGGGCTAGCAGATAGAATGTAATTTACTCCGTCCGATCCTCACTTAGAATATATTTTACTCCGAAAATATCCCAAAACATCAGTTAGAATATTTAGGAGCACAAGTGACACTTAGAATAATTCACATTTGCGCAAATCCTTGAAATTTGAACACCCTTTCAGGTGGCCAGCAGATAGAATATGCTTTGACAAATAGAATAGTTCAAAAGAATCCTGTTCTGATAACAACACACTTCTCCAAGGTTTTAGACTGCCAGGACTAAATTAGTATTGCTGGAACTTAAATTAGCATTATCAATATTTAAGATTAATATCGCCAATACTAAATCTAGTGAAGGCTTTTTGGCTTAGAGGGGGGGGAAGCTCGAACGCTTTCACGAAAAGCTCACAGGTAGAAACTTTGGAGTTGCACGCGTAAAATCAGGTCCTCCGAGCCAGGACTAATTTTAGCATTGCCGGTACTTAATTTTGCATTGCCAGTACTAGTTTGAGAATAGTACATTTATATTGTCAGTACTAATTTTAGCATTGCCAATAGTAAATTTAGTATTGGCAGGACATTCTTGCTATTGCCGGTACTGAATTTAGCATTGCCAATATAAACTTTGGATTGCCAATGCTAAGCCTAGTAAAGTTTAGCAAGGGTTTGAACTGTAAAATTATTTATTTAAAAACGAATCCTGGAAGGTTTTTTGGCTACGAGAAGAGGGGGTAGCTTTGCCGCAGTAATCAATTTAGTATTGCCAGTATTAATTAGTAGTGCCAATAGTAAATTTAATATTTTTATCAGATAGAATAATTCAGCAAGGGCCGTAGATGTGCAAAATAAACCTGTTCTGATAACACACTTCTCGACTTGCTTTGGCAAAAGTGCTTTTCCAGACCTCGCAGCCTTTGTATCTGACACAAATTATTCTATTTGTCTGTTCCACTTCCAAGGATTTGCACAGGAATGTCAAGATTTGGGATTACTCGAACTGTCTCATTTATTCATATGTGGTCTCGGTACTGTTTGGCGTTGGGTAAAAAGGAAAGGAATGCCACCCCGTTTTGGGACATAGTGAGGTACCCTCAAAAACTAAGCAAACACATATTTACTTTCTCTATATATAATATGTATATGTTTATATATTTGCATACGATTGAATGCATGATGAAGGCTTCCTGGCCCAAACACAAATATTCTAACTGTGCCATCATTTGTATTTTGGGCTCGGTACCGTTTGGGGCTGGGTCAAAGGGAAAGGAAGGCCACCCCTTTTTGGAGAATAGTGGGGTACCCTCAAAATAAGCAAATCCATATCTACTATGTGTATATATATATATATATGTTTATGTGTGCACACGATCAATTGCTTACTGAAGGTTCCCGGCCAAAAAACAAATATTCTAACTGTGCCCCCCGATGGTGTACAATGTATAGCTTCGGCTCGGTACCGTTTAGGGCTGGGCTAAAGGGAAAGGAAGGCCACGTCAAAGAATAAACAAAACAATATTTACTATCTCTATATCTTTCATTATGCCTACGATTCATCACCTGATGAAGTTTTGCAAAAAACACATATTCTAACTGTGCCACCCCATGGTGTTCATTTGTATTTTGGGCTCGGTACCGTTTGGGGTTGGGTCAAAGGGAAAGGAAGGCCACCCCTTGTTGGAGTGTACTGAAGTGCCCTTAAGAAATAAGCCATCCAATGCTTGCTATCTCTCTCTCTCTCTCTCTATTATATATATTCATATTAAAGTGTGGCCTGATGAAGGTTTTCCGGCCCAAAAACAAATATTCTATCTGTGCCCCCCCATGGTGTTCATGTATAGCTTCGGCTCGGTATCGTTTGGGGCTGGGCTAAAGGGAAAGGAAGGCCACGTCAAAGAATAAACAAAACAATATTTACTATCTCTATATCTTTTATTATGCCTACGACTCATCACCTGATGAAGACTTGCAAAAACAAATATTCTCACTGTGCCACCCCATGGTGTTCATTTGTATTTTGGGCTCGGTACCGTTTTGGGGTTGGATTAAAGGGAAACGAAGGCCACGCTTCTGGACCCTCAAAGAATAAACAAATCAAATTGACTATCTCTATATCCTTTATTATGCCTCTGATGAAGTGTTGCCAAAAACACATATTCTAACTGTGCCACCCCATGGTGTTCATTTGTATTTTGGGCTTGGTGCCGTTTGTGGTTGGGTTAAAGGGAAAGGAACACCCCTTGTTGGAATATACTGGGGTACCCTCAAAAAATAAGCAATCCAATATTTACTATCTATATTTAGTAATTTATGCATACGATAAATCACCTTGAAGGTTTGCAAAAGCAAATATTCTATCTGTGCCCCCCCCCCCAAATGGTGTTCATGAATATTTTGGGCTCGGTACCGTTTGAGTCTCTGGAGAATTTGCTGTATATGAAATATTCTATCTGTTTGTGGGAGAGGGGCATGGCCCGTCGGGCTGGCATTTGAGCTGCGAAAAAAGGAGAAGCCATGCATTCCTTTGGCAAATGCGTGTGTCTTTCTTAGGGGGACCCCTCAAAACGGTTGGTTTCCGTTTGGTTTTGCATATACCATTGAAAGAGAGACGGACCCAAATGGAAAATCATGGGACCCGCATGGTTTGCTGAAAGCCGTATATAGAAATATCTAGCAACGGGCTAGCAGCTAGGACATTTATCGCAGAGTAGTTCTTCATAGCAGAAATCCTTATATTGGATAATATTATATCTGTTTGTGGGAGAGGGGCATGGCCCGTCGGGCTGGCATTTGAGCTCCGAAAAAAAGGAGAAGCCATGCATTCCTTTCGCAAATGCGTGTGTCTTTCTTAGGGGGACCCCTCAAAACAGTTGGTTTCCGTTTGGTTTTGCATATACCCTTGAAAGAGAGACGGACCCAAATGGAAAATCATGGGACCCGCATAGTTTGCTGAAAGCCGTATATAGAAATATCTAGCAACGGGCTAGCAGCTAGGACATTTATCGCAGAGTAGTTCTTCATAGCAGAAATCCTTATTTTGAAATATTATATCTGTTTGTGGGAGAGGGGCATGGCCCGTCGGGCTGGCATTTGAGCTCCGAAAAAAAGGAGAAGCCATGCATTCCTTTCGCAAATGCGTGTGTCTTTCTTAGGGGGACCCCTCAAAACAGTTGGTTTCCGTTTGGTTTTGCATATACCCTTGAAAGAGAGACGGACCCAAATGGAAAATCATGGGACCCACATAGTTTGCTGAAAGCCGTATATAGAAATATCTAGCAACGGGCTAGCAGCTAGGACATTTATCGCAGAGTAGTTGTTCATAGCAGAAATCCTTATATTGGATAATATTATATCTGTTTGTGGGAGAGGGGCATGGCCCGTCGGGCTGGCATTTGAGCTCCGAAAAAAAGGAGAAGCCATGCATTTCTTTGGCAAATGCGTGTGTCTTTCTTAGGGGGACCCCTCAAAACAGTTGGTTTCCGTTTGGTTTTGCATATACCCTTGAAAGAGAGACGGACCCAAATGGAAAATCATGGGACCCACATGGTTTGCTGAAAGCCGTATATAGAAATATCTAGCAACGGGCTAGCAGCTAGGACATTTATCGCAGAGTAGTTGTTCATAGCAGAAACCCTTATTTTGAAATATTATATCTGTTGTTTTCTTTTTTAATATTTCTTTTTTTATTTTATTATTCTAACTGTCTTTTTCCTATTTATTCTAACTCATGTTTTGATAGACTATTGAAATGTGCATTTTCACTTACTCTAAAAACTATATTCTATCTGCTAGCCCGATACTATAGATAGAGTGGATGGGTGGATGGATGGATGGCTGGATGGCTGGAGGATGGACACATTAAATTCAGTTAGACAAGGGAAATGGGTACATTAGATGAGTTTAGATTAAGTAGACCGACGAGATTAGATTACGTTACAACAGCTAGGTAGCTAAATAGATAGATATATAGAGATACAAAAGGATAGCTGAGATTGGACAGCCCCAGCCAAACGCATAGATGGGTGAAAACAGAGATAGAGAGGGGCCATCTGAGAATGATAATTGTAGAAAGACAGGCAGATAGATGCACAGAGAAACAGATACATAGACAGGCGTGCAGATCGACGAATATGTAGGTGGATACATAGACAAATTGCTAGATAGATAGCTGGACAGACAGACAGACAGACAGATAGATAGATAGGTTGACAGACGGAGCGGCTGGCCAACACGTAGAAATAGCTTAGAGAGAAAAAGGGATAGAGAGGGTACACTAATAGCAAGACAAAGAGATAGAGAGAAAATATAATATCAGAAAAGATTAGGAAAGGCCGGACACACAGATTGCAATTAACTTATGCATAGGCTTGGATAGATAGGATGATCGATAGATGACTAGAAAGACACAGGGTCACATAATATGGTAGATGTGTCGCAGATATACAGCTGCGTAGATAGACGGATAGACGGATTGACAGACACACAAAGAGACAAACAAACAGATAGATCGCTAGAGACACAAATGAACAAAACGATGCGTCGGCAGGCAAAGGCATTGATAGTAGCAGGTAAATGGCTAGGCAAGGGGGCACACGCACAAAGAAAGCTTCGGGCAGTTGAGCTGCATTCGGGCTGGTGGCTTCTATCAAGTTTTCTAAGTACGCCAGCTGAACATAGAGTTGGTATTTGGAAGTTACTCAGGTGTCGTGAGTGTGTCTCTTGAAGCAGGAAACTCAACATCATGGCTTCCTGTTGGTTTCCTTTTAAACTACCGGCTGGTGCCTGGACACTTCCCCTTTGATTTGCGTAGCGGTGTGGGTAGAGACCCCCAGCCGTGGCGTGACAGTCTGACACCCCTCAACATCAGGTGTCCCTACTCGCTAAGCCGATGATGAGGCACAACCTCCTGAGACACAAGCGAATCAAGGTCCAAACGCGTTTGATTGCTTCCAAGCACCGACAATGCGTACCCATTCACAAGCCAGCACAAGCACCACGTGCGTATGGCTGCCAGAGTGCGCGCATTTATACGCATCCGTCAAGTCAAAGACCCCTTGCTCCTGGAGACCACAAGCCCTGTTGATCAAGTCACAAGCGTCAGTTGTCATTGCATGCCTCGCATTTACCAACGCAGAGGCCGAAGCAACGCCCCGCACGACAAGAAGTCTGAGAAAAACTCCAGGGTCAGCTCACCAAATCGTCCGTGTAGGCCGCTGCTTTCTGCAAGGCATGTGCGGAAGCATAGGCCATGTCCATATCAGGTTTGATCGGACATCTCACTGGCACCACAGCTCCGCAGTCATACGCCTGTTGCGCAAGATGCCTGCCCTCCGTCCATCCCCCAAGCGTGAGAGCATGTCAGCGGGTTGGTTTGGGGGCCAACCGAAGGCAAGGATCCAAATTCCTATTTGAGAACCACTCGAATAACAGGTTTTTGTGTTGGGGCCATGACTACACGGGGACCAAACTAAGAAACCAAAATGCCAAAAGGTCGGCAGCTGCACAGACCCGGCCTGAACTCATCCCAGCCCTGCTTGAAGGCCAACATCGCCTGCGCCAGCACCGGACTCGCGGCCTCGCTGGCGATGAAGCCCTTGTGGTTCGTAAGGAAATCCTCGTCGAACTTGATCGACATGTGGGGGGGGAGGGGGGAGGGGGGAGGGGGGAATACAGTTGGCTTCCCTTTTGGTTTCCATGTGACATACCAACCAAGAGGTCCATTTTGAAAAAGTCCCAGGTACCCTTTTCACCTTGGTTTCAATCAAACGAAAAGGAAAGCCGAAATCCATCTTTGGGGTCCACCACGCATAAGAGGGTCGCAAGTCGCAAGCAACCTTGAGAAACACGCATTTGAGGCCTCTTTCAATTCAAAGGCCCAACACACCACACCACACCACACCCCCCCCCCCCTCAAAAAAGAAAAAACAAAACACCGCGGAACAAACGCACAACTTCGTTTGGAGTGGACCAACACATGGCTGTGGAAAGGTGGAAATTTGACTGCCACGTTCCGTGATAAGGGAACCCCCTCTTAATCTGATACATTAGTCATGGGGATGGGAATAAACTGGTATGACAGAACAAGTGCCTTTCCACAAACTTGCACCAATCAACTTGTATGATTCAGGAAGCCGTGTTCTGACCTCAACTTGGGCTGGTCTCATAGAGGACAAGCACAAATGGATGGTCTGCTTTTCGTATTCCTTTGCTCGTAGAAGTCTACGCAAGCAAACATCCCCTCCCCCCCCAAAAAAAAGAAATGGAAAAGCAAAGCCAGAAAACAAACCAACAAACAAATCAATCAAACAAACAAACAAACAAACAACAACCTAAACTGGGTTTTGTGAACTCCGAACCCGGCAAGCTCTGTTTCTGATTGTTTCAAGGGGCTTGCTGAAGCATGCTGAAGCATGCTGAAGCATGCTGAAGCTACTTCTTCGAAGCCTTGGAAATGCATGCATTTAAACTGGTCTCCCTAGTACCATCTTCAAAGTCACCCCCTTGGAGACAGCGCAACTGCAAAACTTGATAACCCCGAGGAACAGTGAAATAATGACCTCATGTTCAAAGGGATTCTGATCATCTGGATTGCTAGGTCCATGAGCATCCCTACTTACCCCAGAAGCCAGTGTTGACTTCACCCACCTCCATGCGCGGACGTGTCCCTGGAAAAAAAAACAACAATAAAGACACATGTTTTCAGTGATAGACGAAGCAGAGAGGTCAGAATAAGGGTGCCCTTTTTTCTGTAGTCTATTTTAGTAGGGGAACCCCCCAAAAAAGAGGTAAAAGGGCGCTACTGGGGGACACATAGATTCCCTTGAAAACCAACGAGGGAAACGGAAGTCACACGGGATCGATCGATCGATCCGGCTATCCGGCCTTTGAGCCATACAGCTGAATCAGAATGCTCTTCAGGGCCTGAGCTCGACGTGGCAATTTGTAGGCCTTGAGAACGACTCGCGATCTCTGACTATTGATTTTGATTGGTCTGGAGGTTAAGGTGATGTCTCATTCAAAGTCTGCAGGAACCAGCTCGTGTCTAACCAATCCGAACCACTGAAGGGCGATTTGAGCCTCGAACTACTGGATTCCCAAGTAAAGGACGTATTTTCAGCTCGCTCACCTCCAAGTCGGTGAGCTCGAAACTCATAAAACTAGAATATTCAACTACAAGGGACTTCACCCCCGAATTCTGGACATTCCCCCGGCTCGACAGACCCACCTTTTTCATGTATCATGACAACACCTGACTAAAACAGAAGTATATACCATGCAAAACCAGGCTTTTCAACACGTACCCTTAAACACATGTGGGCATTTGGAGTAGGGGGTTGGCAATATGGGTGGGTCTTTCTTTGAGGGTCCCCCTTTCTCTGGTTTTACAGGGACACCAAGAGGAGTTTGCCGCCTTTTTTGGGGGGTCCAGCCTGAAAATGGACACATATCCCAGTCTGTGTCGTTTTTCCCGAGGCATCTTCGCCGAGCGCTCGCGCCTCATAGTCGGCCCACACGGTGGCCATCGTCGTCAACGTGCACGCGTCCACGGTCCGGGGAATGGGCACCTATGCCGAATCCCCACAAGCGAAGCCTGTTGACTCTTTTTGGGGAGGGCTTAAAGGGAAGCCAAAAGGAAAACCACCAATGTGACACACATTGGGACCCAGAAAAAGGAAGACCTGGAAAGGGTACTGTCCCCTAATCAGGTTTTGACAGCACCCCAAAAGGGGGGTAAGGGAAGTTACATGGAATATCTTCTTCCACTTGCCCGAAGGACCTAGAAACAAGATTGGTTAATCCTTTGGAACCACATAACATGGTTGCCAAAAACTGGAAAACCCGCTTTGGTCAGATCTGGTTGATTCTCTTTGGCTTTGATGTACAAACTGGCAAACCGACAGCTGCTCTTGTAGGTTCCATGTCCGCTTTTGGGAACCTGGTTCCCCCCCCAAAAAAAAAACACGAGCCGTTCCCAAACAAGAGGGGCTGGCCCTTGGCGACCCGATTCACCGTCCCAAATGGAGGCCTCTGGCACGAGGTGCGAGTTGGTGGCGCCACGAAGCAGCTCCCAGTGGAGCTTCTCAAACTTCGCGGTGTGCGCTTCAAAGGATCCTGAAGCTAACATCCCACAACCGCCTTCTGGTGCCACAAGGAACACCTGGACAATTTTCATGGTAAATACATCCTTGTTTACTCTGGGGTCGACATCATCGAAACCACAGAAGAGGGTGGGGGGGTCTCAAACAGGTGGACCCTTTTGGATGGCGTCAAAGGAGCCAAAAGGAACCCTTGCCGACTTTCAGGGGTCCCTCCGTTTCCCTTTTTGCAACCTTTAAAAGGAGCGATGGTTCCAATGGAAACCACCAGGCGGTTTAGGGAAGATCCAGTGGCCGCTGAAGGGCTCGTAGCTCAAATAAGGAATGCCCTCCAAAATCGTACATAAAAGGGGGATCATTTTCGAACACCGATTTTGGATCACTTTCGAACACCAATGTCCTGGATCATTTTCGAACACAGAGTGGACATTTTCGAACACATGGGGGGGCTATCCTGCGGCACCCGTGGGGTGGGGGGGGGGGGGTGTGGCGGGGCAGTTGCGTTCGCCTCTTACTGCGTGACCGTGCCACTGCGTCCTGGGGGTGGGGGTGTGGGTGGGTCGCCTCTTACTGCGTGACCTGCATCCTGGGGCTGGGGGGAAGGGGGAAATTGCGATCGCTGCTGACTGCGTGACGGTGGAACTGCGTATTGGGGTGCAACTGCGTCCTGGGGCTGGGGGAAGGGGGCAACCACAAGCCTCCGAGTGCCAAGATACCTTGGCTTTTTGAGCTAAGATGTCCTCGGCGACTTGCGCTCGTTGGCCCCCGTAAAGCCGTGAAAACTCGGCCTAACGGCCGTAATAACTCGCGCGGGAAACTGAAAGGCCGTTACTACTCCGTGAAAAAGCCGTGAAAACTCGTGAAATTTCAAGCTCTGAGTTATCTTGTCCTCGCGACACAAAAAACCTCCTTATAGCTCATACGGCCTAAGTAACTTGCGAATCGGAGCCTCCTGGCATTGCGATCGCCGCTTACTGCGTGGCGGCGCAACTGCGTGTTGGGGCTGGGGGGGGGGGGTGGGGCAGTTACGTTCGCTTCTTGCTGCGTGACCGTGCGACTGCGTCCTGGGGCTGGGGGGGGGGGGTTGGGGTGGGGCAGTTACGTTCGCCTCTTACCGCGTGACCGTGCAACTGCGCGCTGGTGGTGATGGTGGTGTTGTTGGTAGTGATGATGACGATGTTGATGATGATGGTCATGATGATGATGATGGTGATGATGGTGATGATGATGATGATGATGATGTTGACGATGTTGATGATGATCAATGATGATGATAATGATGATGATGATGATGATGATGACGATGATGATGACGGCGATGATGTTGATGATGATGGTGATGATGTTAATGATGATGATATTGATGTTGGCGATGAGGATGTCGATGGCGATGACTTTGATGATGTCGATGATGATGGTGATGTCGACGTTGATGTTGATAATGGTGATGATGTTGTTAATGATGATGATGATGATGGTGATGATGATGATGGTGATGATGTTGAAGTTGACGATGTTGATGATGATGTTGACGATGATGCTGTTGATGATGATGATGATGACAATGGTGATGATGATGGTGATGGTGATGATGGTGATGATGGTGATGTTGACGGTGTTGTTGATGATGATGATATAGATGTTGGTGGTGATGTTGATGATGGTGATGATGATGTTGGTGTTGACGTTGATGATGGTGATGTTGTTGGTAGTGATGATGACGATGTTGATGTTGATGGTAATGATGATGATGATGATGATGATTATGTTGACGATATGCTGATGATGATGACGATGACGGTGATGTTGATGTTGATGTTGATGAGGATGATGATGATGATGGTGATGATGATGATGGTGATGATGATGATGATGATGATGATGATGATGATGTCGCTTTGCGTTCCTTGTGCTTTGTGTTCCCGGGTCTACAGTTGATGATTGTCTCCCAAAAGCACGGCGCCATCCATGTGCTACACGTGCATCGTGGTGCGTGTTCGTGCGCCTCATCGTGGTGTGCATGGACACTTGGAAAAATGGCCGTGTTGCTGTAAATCACATACACTTGAGCAAAACCGCGTTCAAAAACGAGCCAAAACACGCGTTCAAAAACGACCACCTTCCCTACATAAACCCCGAATGTTCACGACACAGTTTCCCCAGTTGAGAGTCGTACCCAAATCAGGGCCCCTCAATTGCCGGTTTGGATTGGCGTTTTGGGGGGTCAAAACCCCTTGAAGGATACCAGTAAATCATTGGAGAGTACTCATCAGTTTGGATTTTGGTGATCTGGGTGTGGCTCAAAAGTAAAGAGCCATGGTTGCGCAGGTTTTAGTCCTTTGGTTCCATTTACCAAGGTGCCATTGTGGTACGTGTTATTGAGCCACAGCCATCTGACTCCTTTGAGCATTCCCATAGATCGCGGTCCTGTCATGCCCACCGCAGAGTCGCGAAGGCTGATGAGGAGAGATTCTTCAGCCAGTTGCCTTCCATGGGAATTGGCGCCCTGGACCCCCAAACTAACCTAAGTTGGATATCGCAACCCACAATTTTGGGATGGTGTCCTGTCTTTACTTGGGTAGTCTTGTGTTGCTGGTCGAGTTTCGAGTAGGTTTCTCCGGGACAAGGGTTGGCGCTCATTCTTGCTTTGTTGGCAAACCCATAAGTAGGAGAAACCCAGTGGCTTGTTTGGCGATTGGGGCTTGAAAGTAACCCTATCCTTCCGTCAAATATTAACCGCGTTGATCCACTGGCTGCAACTGGGCAGCTGCAGCAATCCACGGCTCTGCTCCGCGCTCTCCCACACGATCGCCCTGTCTCGAAACAAACCCACGAACAAGATAGAGCATAAAGACCGAGGCTTACAATGACATCAGAAGGGCAAACAGCCCTTCTTTGATTTCTGGTTGAGACTCACTTAGACTTTGATGCTGGCTTAGCTGATTGTTCCATCACAAAACGACGTACCGCCGTGAAACTCCAAATGAGCGCTTGTCTAGGCATGTGACACAATGGGGGTTCGCAAACTGTTGGTGTTCCTGTTGATTTCCTTTTGAACCAACATGAAAACGGTACCCTAACCAAGCACGAACCCACATTGAAAACTCTAAAATCCATTTCTTTCTCAAGCAGAAACGCAGAATCCCGGTTTTCTCTCCTCAGCGTGGGGTCTGCAGAATAGGCCGCGAGGACATAGCCAAGCCCCACCTGAGCAACTTGGGGCTCCCCAAAGCTCCTCCCCTTTTGTCTGCGCGATTTTGGGCCCGGCAAAGGAAAGGCGAGCAAAGACTGGAGGGTCCAGGCTGCCTGGGGGGCAAACCATGGTTTGATTCTCAACGGCTTCTCTGCCCCCCCCCCCACCCCAACCCCTTTCAAATGAACTAACACAGTTCCTGAAAGGATAAATCCAAACAAATATGAGTTCCAGGGATTCGCATCCTCCAAAGCAGCTTGTTTTTGGGTGAGTTGTTACTGGCCAACAGTAGTCCTTAATTGGTGGTGTGGATTGGCTTGGGGAATTGATTTTCGGGCTTCTGTTCTGGGCCTCGGCTCCAAAGCACCAATCCAAACCGCCAACTTCCAGGGAAGCTCACCTACAAACCACCAATCCCAAGCTACAAAAATCTTCGCAAAATCCAGAAACACCAACAAAACGACGAAAAGGTGGGTCCCAAACTGGCGGCAAACCCTACTTCAAAAAGACAACCCACACTTGGTACCCCGTAGCTAAGGCTACATACATGGGTTTGTTGGAGAACCCAAACATTCATTGGGTGAAAGGGGGCGCAAAACCCTAAAAGTAAGCACACACACACACACCTTATGAATCAACCAACGTTCTTTTGAGGCCAGGGTAAAGAACCTGGCAAACCAATTGAGAGCCTCTCAATGAGAGGTGCAACATTGCGGAGCGCTCATGGTTTAAGTTGCATCCACTGTAAAACGACATGCCCCTTCAAATCAGCGGGTTCTTCATCTGGATTCTGTTCAAATGAAGCTAACTTTTGGGTGGCAAAACCCTATTTTCCCCACACGGTTATCCTCCAACAGATTGACACCTTTGGGGTGCCCCGGAGACGTTCGGAACCCAAAGCGGAGATGTTCGCACCCCAGGGCCTCCTCCATCTTTGCGTCCAGCTCGTCACTCTTTCGGCCCACGCGCCACGTGACCGCAGCATCGCCGGTGACCACGGCTCGCTGGACGTCCTCTTGGAAACTCGTCCACAATGCGAAGGAGGTCGTCAGCAGATCCACCAGCCTAGGGACAAAGAAGGCTTTGCAGCCGGTGGCTCACTAACCTGCGAAACTTAAACTGTTGGACGCTAAAATGCTGAAGGCCCAAGGGTAGGGATTGGCAGGGGTGGGAAAAAAGGAAACCATCCATTTTGGGGATCTGTAGAGGCCCATTCCATCTGTGACAACAAAGAAACATAAGCCGTGGAGGAACCCTTCCGGAACCGGAGCCAGAGGACGAATAGATGTCAGCTGTTGGCGAAAGAGAAAAAGAAGAGCGACAACTCCATTTCCTCAAAGTTGGCAAAACGATGGAAATGCTTGCAAGGGACCTTTTCTTTGTCGGGCTCACTGTTGCGGAACTGACTTTGGTTCGACTAAATGGTGAAGCTTTACAACTTGTTGAGGTGGCTCGGCAAGAGCCCCCAAAAGTGAAAACAAGCAAAGGCGGCTTCAACACGCCAGCATTTCGTGTTTTGTGCCCGCGGGGCATGTGAATGCGAAAGCGATTGCTTTGGCCCAAGCTGCGAGGCACAGAATAGGCAAAGCGGGTTTCCAAATCTCAAAGCGGGGCGGGCGTTCTTTCCATTTGGCAAGGTGCGCATTGCTGGGGGTGAGCTTGAGCGGGAGTCCTTCGCATTTAGCTCGCATGGTCTTATCATTTAGCAGAGTGACACGCAGTGCTGCGCAGGCGCACGCGAGCGGGTGCTCTAATCGTTTGGCAAACAGCCGGGTGCACTTGTGTGGGCGTTCTTTTGATTTGGCAGACCAAGACCAGTGCTGCGTGCTCGAGCGCATGTGAGCGTGTGACATGTCACGAGGCTCTGCACGGCAGCTCAAATGCACAGTTTCTGCTGCGCGGTGGCCTCCAAACCAGGGCGCTGCTCGGCACGTTCTAGAACCTGCCGCGGCAGCTATGGCATCCACGGAGCAGCTGGTGCCGGGCTGGCCACTTTAGCTCCGGCGCCTTCTTCCTGCGGCTTCTTGATCGCTCGTCCTTTGCTCCTCCACCGTGGCTTTTTTTTGGGGTCTCCTTCCTTCCAAATCCGCGCGGTCCGTGCTTCCTCAAAACCTTTTTGGGCCAGCGGCGAAAGCGCCTGCTTTGGCCAAAGCTGCGGATGATCAGAAGGGGCAAAGCTCTTTACGATGGCTAATGTCCATGAAGCTAGAACCCCCTTCCGGTTCTGGTTGCCGTTTAAATGTATCGGTCTGCATTGTCGCTTCCAGAGCCACAACGCAACGAAACAAATTGCCCCGCAGAGCACGACTGCGGCAAGTGACACACAGTGCATCCGGGCTTTGGGTCAATTGTGGAAATGGCTTTCACATGAAACTTGGGACCTAGAAAAGGATTTGGAACTTTCTTACTCTTGGGATAGGAAACCACAAATCCACTTTTGAAGGTGCTTACATAGCCAAGCTTTCCAGACATAATCAACCCTAAAAGCTGACACAAGAAGCTGGGGGAAACCGATTCACAGCTGGCAATCCAAGTGATGCCCTTTGATTAGTTGAGGCCCAAACCCGGATAGAAAAGCAAACAACACAAATAGCCAAGTTGCTGCATTTTGTTTTCCCTGAAAACAGTCACAGTGGCCTGCAGCCCAGGCACGCCTGCGAAGGTGGCACAGGCACCTTCTTGCTATAGGAGCCTGCGCGAAGACTCGAATCCGGCAGATCCTGATGTACCCGGACAATTAAAGAGCTGAACCGCGAGCCAGTTGCTTGTTTTCCCCATCAACTTATGACTATGACTTTAAGAGTAACGTCCCCAAAGAACGCGAGGCGTGGCAGTTTAGGTTAAGGCCATTCAGCATCCCCAACCAACCCCAAGTCAATGCACCCTCTTTCGCCTTTCAAAGCGTTGCCAATAGCTGCACTCGCATCCGCAAGTGTCTGAGTCAGCAGGAGCTTCTCCAAATCAGCCGCCGTTGCGCTAATGACCTGCCAACAGGCACTTGGTTGGTTGCTGTAAAGAGGAACCTGCCAGAATACCAAACTAGAAGAACGGGTGGCCCAAAACTATGATGGCAAATGTTGTTTTTGGTTTCATGCATGGAGTCCAGCAAGGGACCTGCAAAGCAAACCAGGTTGCGCGCAAATCAGAAATCGCAACGGCTGGAAGTTGGGAGGTCTCAGCCCAGATAAGGTTTGGGGGTGGCTCGGAGTCAGGTTCGAGGAGGTTCTGGTCGGTTCAGGTGTAAGGTTCAAGGACGTCTGGCGCAGGTGAAAGGTTCAAGGAAGGTTGCGGGGGGTTTGCGAGGGTTTAGCAGTTCCGCGAGTCAGGAAAGCGCCGCATGCTCTTGGCAAAGAAATCACACGAGCTTGATTTGACATCGACGCCGATCTCCACAGAGGGTCGCGCAAAATCGCGGGTGTCATTTTCGCAGAGAGTGTTCGGTCCCACCGCGCCGCCTGAAGTGCGAGCTTTCTCGCGCAAGTTGGCTCGTGCAATTTGCTGCTCTTGCCACTTGCTCTATGAGTTCTGTCAGGGTGCGTGAAACTTGGATTGCTTCGCTGGGTGTTCATTTCCAGCCAAGCGGAGAGGAAGGATGGGATTAAGGCAGACCTTGATCGCCTCGAATTGCAGAGCGGGACACGGGCGGATTTTCGCGAACTGACCGTCACAGCCCCATTGAAACCTACGAGCAAAAGCCCCCTTCATGTAAGCACTGAGCATGATTGAAAAGTGGATTTTCCAACCAGGTCCAGGGGGCATGTGCCTTTTAGTCAGACTTGGACTCCAACAATAAATTCCGCAAGCTGAAGCACAAATGAATGTTTCTTTGCCACTACCATAACTTTTAAATGAAAGCAATTCCTCTTACCCCGCACAAAAGGTCTCACTTTTGCAGGTTGGACGGGAGACATTAGCTTTCCGAAGGGTAAAGGGTTGGTTACTAGTAGTTTGCTAGTGGCAAAGAATAGCATCCAAGAGATCAACTCCACCTCTAGAGGGCGCCGTGTTTTTCGCCTGGAAGAAGAGGCGTGCGGATTTCTGCACGTAGGAGCGGAACAAGTTAGTCTCCATGATGCCGGTCTTCCACAACGCCTCCTGGTGGCTGGAACATGGCATGCTCGGAAAAACCTGTGAGAGACTGGAAGACACAACGGGGGTCTTCTACTTGGGTGTGTGTGTGTGTGTCTTTGCACATGTGTGTGTGCGGTATTGGCGCGGGTGCAAGCTGCGCCGAGGCGCCGGCGCAGGCAAGCGTAGGGGAATGCGTGCCCGTGTGGGCGCGAGTGCGAGTTCTGGCACGCGTGTGCGCGCGGGTGTTTGTGCACTTGTGTGTTGAAAGTTGTGTCGCATTGCGTGCTTTGTTGCGTTGTGCTCTGTGTTGTGCTATATATATTGGGCAGCGTTGCGTTGCGTGCGGTTGTGTTGTGTTGCGCGTTAATCCTAGGGCTTTGCCATCACCAGCTGCACTGGTTGGCTGCAGAGGTTCCACTCACCCCTCACTGCCCGCCTACCCTTCCAGCCCTTCTCACCATTTCCACCCTTGCCACCCGTTGCACCCTTGTCACCCTTCCCACCCACCCACCCACCCTTATGGCGCACTTGCGTGTGTGTGTGTGCGCGCGCGTGAGTGCCGAAACACAGAGTAGTTGCAATGTTTTCCGCACTGCAGTACACTTTCGCAGCCCCAGCTTGAAAGTCGCAGCTCTTCAGCACGAAAGTAGGACGAAAAGCAAACTTCCGCAGCCTGGGTTGAATACGAAAGTAGTACACGAACTAATCTTCCTCAGCCTCGAAAGTCAAAGCTTTTCAATACGAAAGTAGTACACAAAGTAAACTTCCGCAGCCCCAGCTCGAAAGTCGCAACCTTTCAGTTCCAGAGTAGCACGCGAAGCGTGCTTCCGCAGCTCCAGCTCACAAGCCATGAGCTACACACGAGGACCCGTTGGCCTCGTGTCCGAAACTGGCGGGGAGGTCTGTCGACTTTCGCGAAACTTTCGCGGATCTTACGCCAAACATTCGCGAAAATCCGGCTGGAAGTTGCGCCCAACTTGCCCCGAAAGCTTCAAAACTCCCAGAAGCTGGTTTCTGCTGGCTGGAGGTTGATTTTGCAGCGGCGTATTCTTGCGGCGACCCTCAGGCTGCGCATTCTCCGGCCAACTTTAGTCTGCGGGCACTCTGCGCGCACTGCCGGTAAATACACATGTTTGCAAGCCACCCTTACACAAAACTTTCGCGGAAAAACAAACAACTTTCGCGACCCACTTCGCTGAACCTTTGCGGAGGTCAACGCTAAGACCAAAAGGTCTTCCCCTTCATAGCTCAATACAAGGACCCTTCGGACAACTCTCATATTGCTGTGCGTGAGTGCGTGCGTGCGTGCGTGCGTGCGTGCGTGCGGGCGGGCGGGCGTGCGTGCGTGCGTGCGTGCGATACCCTTTTCACCTCCCGATGCAATAAATCGGGCCCTGCGGCAATATGTTCCAACCTGAGAACGTCATGAGGGAAACTCACATGGCCAAGAAGGTGATGGTTTTTGGCCCTTGAGTTCCAGGGATTGGCCTTCCCGTTTTCGGCTCCTCCATGCTGGAGAGGGGGTTGCAAGGCATGTTGGTCTCGAACGCCACGCCCAAAAGGTGCAAATCACTCCGCAGGACAGCAGAAGCCGACTGCACGGAGCGGGCGAAGCTCAGATCTACCCCGATCGCGTCATCGCTCCTTGGCGCATTTTAGGGACTCCCTAGCATCCGAAACGCCGGAGAGGACCCTCTCTTATCCTCCAAAACTCGAGGTGAAACCACCAGGGCCCCAACAAATCAAACTGCAAATTGACTGACAGGAACGAAAGCAAGCAAGCAAGCAAGCAACAGGCACTGATTGCACGGTGAGGGCGGGGGGGGGGGGGGGCACAACCTTGCCTGGCAAAATGCACAAATTGCCCAACCTCCTAAATCCCACATTATCATGGTGGTTTGGAAAAAGAGACACAGCAATTTTGGGCCCGAGCTGGTTCGGCCCACCCCCGTTCGGCCCATCCCCCCCATGGCTAAGCATAGCTTAGGACAATTCCAGCGGAGTTTTGCGAAAACGGAAGCGACCCACTTGACAGAAACTTCCCTTTTTCTTGCCGGTGAGTTCTTGGTGTCAAAATTAGGTCTTCGACCTGTGTACTGTAGTCCCGGGGCACTTTTGCTTGTAGGAAACTTCCCTCAAGTTTCCAAAAGGCAAACAGGGTTGTGCCAAAACCCGACCTGCGCAAGGGCAGAAGTGTGGCCCCTCTTTACGTCCTTGAGCCGTGTAGGTATGGGAGTGCTCGATCCGAGAGCGCGCAAAGCGCCACCTTAAGATACCACAATTTGTCCCACGGTGAGGAGGGAACCTGACCGAAATCTGAGGGAAAACACCGAAAGGCTCGCTCGAAAACTGCAAAGCGGACCGGTCGATCTCGTTTTCGGGCGGAATTGTATAGCTGCTCGAAATGGGAGTGGCCAATCCGATATTCCATCATTAATCACAAAGGGGGGCCAAATCCTTTTGTTTCCCAAGGGTCTTGCGGATTGCCTTTGGCCCCAAATAAAATGTTGGGCGGGAAACCCAAAATGCCGCCCCCTTTCTAGGGTTCTCTCAGAAGGCAAAAGAACCCAACTCGTCCGTGATCCTGGAACCACCCAAAACGCTTCCGAAGAAAAAAAAAAACAGCTTCAAAAAAATCCGTTCCCTCCAACAAGTTGCAAAAAGGGAATTAAAACAATCCATGATTTGATCCTTCCCTTTATCGTCCAGCCGTGTGGGTCCCGAGACGCCGCACTTGCAGCAGAAGTATATCCAGCTCGAACCAACTGGCGGAAACCTTTGCCAGTGCCTTGGAGGAGGAGCTTTGGGGGCCTTCTGCGGTGTGTGTGTGTGTGTGTTGTTTGCGTGTCTGTGTCTGTGTGTGTGTGTGTTGTTTGTGTGTCTGTGTGTGTTGTTTGTGTGTCTGTGTCTGTGTGTGTGTGTTGTTTGTGTGTCTGTGTGTGTTGTTTGCGTGTCTGTGTCTGTGTCTGTGTGTGTGATGTGTTGTTTGTGCGTTGGTGGGAGGGGTTGACCCTGAAAGGACAAAAGCACCAAGGGAAGCCTTGGGCGAATCCAAGCAAACATCAAACTCATGGTGAAACAATACCCTTTATTGGAACCCACGCGTTTGTAGGGCTCGACCAAATTGCTGCGCTTTGGGGCGGGGCATCCATGTTCCCCTCTTGGGGCGCATAGATGGCGTGGGAAAGAACAGCTCCAACGACTTTCTCTGAACCTTGATCGCAAGTAAACTATGGATATGCTGTTTGGAACCGACCCCAAGAGTTGATCTAGGCTGCCCAAATGAACATTGCCTCAAAAGGGGAACCTACAAAAGGATGGTGTCCTTTTAAAGCAACCCCTCTTGGGTATGCTATGAAACACAAAATCCCAAATATCTCCGAATACAATTTGGACTGAAAACACCTCAACCAGAATAGTTTGTCTGTTGGAAAAAAACAGGAAAGCAACTCAACATGAACCACTTGTCCAGTGGACAAATGAAACCACCTCGACACAAACAGTTTGTCCAATCTGACAAAGCAGTTTGCTCATTTTGACAACAACTCAACAAAACCGTAAAAGGATGACAGCAGCTCACCAAAATCAGCTTGCCCATTGCACAATTTGAAAGCACCTCAACGAAACAGCTTAAAACACACTATGAAAGCACCTCAACAGAAACAGAAACAGTAAGCACAACAGAGACATCACAATTGAGTAAGAACCTTTGTTGTGTCCGCTGAAAATCAAATGTGCCATGGCCAAAAGTCCTTGTGTGGGGGATGGTTTTCTGTCTCTGCTCGATTGGCCAGCGCGTGAAACAACTGAAGAATCAACTCAACAAAGTCGCGCCATGGGCACAACTCATTCGTCAAGAGTTGCCACTTTGTCACATGCAGTGAAGATCAAGAGAGATCCCGTCAGAGGTCACAATCGTCAAAACAGAAGAACAAACAACGAAGTCAGCCGCTAATTCTGGCAGTAACTGCATCCAATCGAGTAAACAGCTCATGCACGAGTCAATATTCATATGGTTCCCTTACTAGCAACCCTACAACAATGTTGGATTGAAATCCCTATTAAAGGCTCATGGATCTGATCCCCCCGAAAACTCCAAGCAAAAAAGCGGATCAAAATGAACAAAAAGCCAGTTTTATGAACCAGCTAGTACAGGGCTGTGGTTGCTTTTTTTCCCACTTCCATGATAGAACAGAAAGGGCGGAGACCTTTCTGATTAGTTTGATCATAGAAACCGGGGATTCCCTTGTGTCACAGAAGTGGTTGGAGAAACTTTTTGATCCCACAACCCTGAGGTAGTCGCACCGCCATTCTCAAATGGCCGGGGAAGCTCGCCGCTAGGGCTCCCTATGAAGATTCACCCGCTGGTTTTGTCATGGTTTTAGCCCAACCCCTCACCTTCCATTTGGCTAAGACCCAGTGATAGATTCCCTTTAAAACCGACAGGGGAATCAAACATATTCTTAAGCAAATGGAAGTAACCAGGGCACCCAACTTAAAGCATACACACGCACCAGCAAACGCCCAAAACCCCAAAACCCCAAACTGCCGGCGCGTTCCCGAAAAAAGACATTCTCGCTCGACTCGCCTGCAGCATGCAAACGTCCGTGAGATCCGGGATCTGTAAAACTACATCGCCCCATCGGAGGCTTTGGAGCATCGCGCTAAATCGCACCTCAGCGGAAAAACACAAGGAGCGATTCACCACGCCCCGTATTTGGACCCCCTCACAATGGCGATTTCAAACGGTTGGGTACAAGGTGTGGGTTTTCAATATGATCACAGGAAGTTTAGAAGGAACTTCCGTAGCACGGACACTACGTGAAGGGTAGTCTTACACACAAATGCCAGAATGAAGAAGGGATGAATGCGTGCGCCGAGAAGTGCTATACATCAAACCTAAGAGGGCCTAGGGTTTCCATGGCGGGTTGCAATTCCATGTCAGGTGGTTAATCTGCAATGTGATGACCACACATTTCCAGGTCATATTATGATGTCATGGGGAGAAATGGGACATACATTCAACCACACTCACCATAGTTCACAATAAAGTGCTATTCGGTCAACGTTCAACCCTAAACCCGCTTTGGTTTCCGGTTTCTCTTTTTAACAACCTACCAAAACAGGAGGGGTTCGATGCTGAACAAGGGATTGTCTCATGCGGGGTACAACTCGCACAAAATGCAGTTCTCGTTGTCAACACGTGCCGTTAAAACCGCCCCAAGGCTCCCCTAAACACCGCACCAACGTAGGTATCACAAACCGGGGCCGGTTTCCCACTTTGGCTTTTGAACAAGCTAAAAGGGTTCCCATGAACACATAATAGCTTATATAGCGAAGTATCCTGGTGAGAATTGACCCTAAGCCCAGGATTTAAATCTTTGAAATATGCTAGTAAAGACAAATGAGATGTTAGCAAACGTTGATCCAAAACGACTTCCCTTTGGTTTCCGTGCGACATACCACTTAGTTTGAGTC